CGCGAGCGTTACGTTACCGCTACGTGCAGCTGGGGAGGTAGGGGTAACATGTCACAATATGTCATGTTATTTTATTATAACTATTCAATGGAACATATGAATGTAAATGTATGTCACTTGTTTCTTGCTAATTAGTAAAGCTACTGATAAAAATGCACCCTTATACCAGTTTCTGAAGAAAATGGACATAAATTGCAAAAAAAAACAAAAAAACATGCAATTGTCTGTTGTAATACTGAATATTCCCTGCTTCTTTTAGAGATTCCTTAAATTCAGTGTGTTTAATTTCAGGCTGACTATGCTGTACAAGAGAGACTGGGAGGAGTTATGATATGGAGTGTAGAAACAGACGACTTCTTAGGAAAGTGTAATGGTGTCAAGTACCCTCTGCTCATTGCAGTAAATACCGTGTTATTTGGTGGAGTCACTGTAAGTACTGTCACACACTGAACACTGATAAGGAAAGGACGCAAGCTGTCACTATGAATGTAAAAATGTTACACATCTGTTTGTGCATTCTACATGATGATCAAATCAAAATTCACCAATTTTTTCAGTGAATAAATAATTTGTATGAGACCTAAAATGTACACCTAAATGAAAAGAAGAACTTTTATTTGAAAAATTCTTTTAATATGATAAATAAAAAAATACTCAGAAAAATAAGTTGTGAATCTGTACGAGTGTTGTATCTCTAATTTAATTTGCTTTGCACCAGGACAATGTAGTTGAAACATATGAATATCAAGGTGAATGAGGCATGCACTATATCAAAAAATTTCATTTGAAAAACATGTGTATCGCACTGGAATACAACTCTCCACTCTTAATTCTTATAAAAGTAGATTACATTATTTAGACAAATAAGAACTGAGCGAAGCTTGTCACAATGAATGTGTTCAAGAATTTTCTCAAGTTGTATATGCAGCATTGTAGTATATATGAAGACCTGATTTTAGTCATTTTTCTTATATACGTATGAATGTAGAATTTCCACCACACAGATATAATCGCTATATGTTATGGACAGGATTTCTGCAACAAAGTAATGCTGAAATCCTGCAATGCATGTAATAGAGGAGGAACTGTACTTAAAATTGTCATCACTAAATGATTAGTAAAATTAGTAACTGACTGACTAACCTCATGGAACTGAGCCCTTCTTGAGAAGTCGCCAATTGTGCAGTTACTCAAGAAGTTCTCAGCATTTTATGTAACTTGAAGGTTCATTACCGTGTTCAAAAGTTTGTATTGTGGAAATATAAATAATTGTCCTTTCACTCACATCTCTTAGAACCACTTACCCTCAGTCCTTGGTCTCCTGCAAAGCAGAGACAAAGTTTTTGATCAATCTAAACAATAGATAAAAGAATTTTTTATATACCATACTGTATTTTAATCTTACCCTTGGAAGGAAAATGAGGTGATAACAGCTTACAAATTATAAGCATACATCCCTCTTCAGTTTCTTCTGCTCTTAGTTTCACATACATGCATGTCACTTTGTACCTATTACTGTTGTTGCCAACTCTTTAACTCTACTGCACTTTCAAACTGTGTACCTATCAATAATTACTGCATTCAAAATTTGTCCAAGTCTTAACAATTAAATTTTTGGCATGACAGAGTCATAACTTAAAGCTTATTATTACATCTGTTATTTCCTATCATTTTTACACAAAAAATAAATACACTTCATGCCAGTACAGGATTAACCATGTATTTTGTTTTTTTAAATTCTCTTCATCCTGCTGCATTATAAATTGAGTCAGGGGAGCTGTTGTTATGACAGTGAAGTAAATTAAATTTTATTTGTTGTTGTGTTATTATTGCAAGTATTGTATTTAAGCATCTTGCTGCATTAATGCATCTTTTGTACACTTATTTCCATCTTAAATGTAACTTATTTTGTAGTCACCCTTCTTCCTCACTACATGTTTCAGCCATATACAGCCATCATCAGGCATTGTCTAGCCTGCTAAAATTGTTGCACTGTATGTCAAAAGTTTTGTATCCTATGTGAACACAATATTCCCTAATTAAAATGAATTAGGTGTGGAATTAAAATAATGACTATCTTAATATTATTTCCATTATGGTCATCATCCATTTTCTTAGAAGATATATGCTTGACAGTATTCCTCATTGTTGAATTCAGTCAGGCTGTATGCCATTTGTGGCACATAATACGTAAAATACCCTTGCATAATACACACATTCACGTTCAAGGTAAACAAATGAAAATAACAATAGATTGGGAGACAGACAGAAACACTTATACAGTAAAGTAGCGATTATCTAAATAGAAAAATGACTCTTTCCAGTGACCCTCAGGACCCTTCCTATTGTACTTTCCTTTCTCACAGCACAATTTTATTTAAAAGTACAACATTCAACACACTGTCCATGAGCCTGATAAGTACTGTATCTTGCCACCAAATCTTACTGATGTAAATGTACTTCTATTTCAGGTTACAGAGACCCCATCAACATCAGAATCAACAACATCTAAGCAGCCAGAACATACTACTACAAGAGCTACCATATCCCCGTCAGAATTAACTACAGCTACTACAGCTGCTACCACTACTGCATCAACACCTGCAGGCACTAATCCTGCCAACCCAACTGAAGTATGTATCATACAAAATATCCATCATACTTAGTATTACCCCAACCAGTCTCTGGGGGCACGCGGTAGCATAGTTGGTTGAGGCACTACACTACAAGCTGGGAGGTCACAGGCTTGAGTCTTGATGAGGTCACTGGATTTTCTCAGTTTACCTAATCTTTCTGGCCTCACTACAACCCTGGGGTCAACTCAGCCTCTAACCAAAATGAGTACCAGGAATCTGTCTGAGGAGTAAAGAGCGGCCAGCACGTAAGGCTAACAGCCTTACAGCCATCTGTGAGCTGATTGTCTACAAAATGTGGTAGCCTCAATGTCATAACAAACCTATGGGCCCACACAGCCTCTTACAGGGATAGCTTTACCTTTTTGTACCTTACCAGTCTCTGAAGAAATCTCTGTACATTCCTTCAATGATGCCAACAGTTTCAGAAAGCAAATTCTATAACGTTGAAAAATTAACTCTACAGTACTGCATAATTGTGTACACAGACAACAGATGACAACACTGATAATATGGAGAAATGCATCACCTCTTTGCTGACTGCTTAGATTACCCTTTGACCCTGCAAATGGACGTGACATGTTGCTCCAGAATACTGGACCTTCTCCAGACTACAGGCAATACAATGTAGACAACTATGCTCTTTTCAGTCATACAGGCCATTGCCCACACCTTTACTGACTGATCTGTCAGTGATCATGGACTGATATAGGAAATGTGAACAAATGCACTGTATGTCTTTGCTTTCAGGCACCTCAGATATCATACATACACCAGTACAGTGCTTAAATATGCAATTAATTCAAATCAACAGTAACATGTCTTGAACATACAAGCAACCATAATAAAACAATTTCCAAAATCACTAAAATACTTAGTGACAAACTTCAGTTTTCAGAATACAAATACAGTACATAAACAATAAGGAGGGCACAAGATACTTAGTTCATATGACAATCAGATATATGTCTGTAAGTGCATCAAGATCAGTGTAAGTTTAATCTGATTTTCATGTCTTCACAGCTAGCACATTTTTCTGCATTTGTTGACCACACGCTATTTACATGTCACAGCCCACATGTAATGTAATACAGTTCATTCTTCATCTCACTCAAAATCACTTCAAAGACAAGATGAATTATAAAGATTTTGCCACAATTCGATAATGTTACTGGCTACCATGCAGGGCCTGTGCAATTCCTCTTAAACATTATAGTCATAACTCTTTCATTCAACATGACTTCTTTGATCCAGTCTACAAGCCATTTTAAACTTTCAGTCACATCACTGCTGTAGGAGGTTTTCCAGCTTAGGGGAAGCAAAGATGATGACAGAAGTTAACAATAAGGGATATTCTGTTATTACAGTGTCATATAACTTTTAAATAATTGAAAATGTCATAGATTCCATGTCTACTGTTGCAAATTGCTACTCACAAATATACACTCAAGTGCCAAAAGTCATGGGATAGCAGCATGTAAATTTATTTTTAAGTGGCGCCACCGTCCCTTGACAGCTTGGGAATGCCCAGAGCAGTATCAGTTATGAGGTGTTCTCTCATGAGTCAGGTAGAACATCGGCCAGTCTGCTCATGGCAAGCCGACGTGAATTATTGGAGTTTGAATGGGGCATGATAGTGGGTGCCAGGCAGATGGGACATTCCATTTCTGAAGTTGTGCAATCATTCAACATTCCTCGATCCACTGTGTCACATGTGTACCAGGAATACCTTGTGGAAGACATTTCCACCCACCATGGACAGCACAGTGGCTGACCACGGGTGCTTCAAGAATGTGACCAGCGGCATCTAGCTACACGTAGAATTGTCTGTGGTAACAGACAAGCGACACTGGCTGAAATCACATCCACATTCAATGCAGGAGGTACCAGATGCATATCCAGCAGGTCAGTGCAGCGTTCTTAACTTCCATGGGATATTAGAGCAGAAGACCGACCAGAGCGCCTCTGTTAACACCATGACACTAGACACAGCGCCTCACCTGGGCTTGTGAAGTCACTAATTTGACCCTGGAGGATTGGCAACATGTGATGTGGTCCAATAAGTCACGGTACCAGTTGTTTTGGGCGGATGGTAGGGTTCAGGTGTGGCGCAGACCCCATGAGCCCATGGACCCCAGTTGTCAACAAGGCACCATGCAGGCTGGTGGTGGTTACATACTGGTGTGGGGTGCATTCACGTGGCATGAGTTGGGTTCGCTCGTCCACCTAAACACGTCGTTGACTGGTGACCACTACATTACACTGCTTGGTGACCATTTGCAGCCCTTCGTGGACTTCGTGTACCCCCACAATGATGGGATATTCCAGCAGGACAATGCACCGTGTCATCAGGTCGGAGTTGTCCAGAATTGGTTCGAGGAGCATTCTGGAGAGTTCCGACAAATGGTGTGGCCACCACGTTCGCCTGACATGAACGCAGTCGAGCATTTATGGGACATGGTGGAGAGGTCCATTTGCACCCAAAATCCTGCACCTACAAATACCAGGAATCTGTGGGCAGCTATCCAGATGGCATGACTCTACATCTCTCCAGCGGTCTTCCGTCCACTTGTGGAATCGATGCCATGTTGAGTTGCTGCACTTCGCTGGGCTAGAAGGGGTCCTACACGATACGATGTACCTATCCCATGACTTTTGGCACTTCAGCATATGTGGAGTGAAATTACTGTGTGGGATTGTTGGTGTTCTAAAAGACAACCACGTAAAACTGTAACAATTGTATATATTAAATGGTATAAATTGAACGTACAGAATAGCTACGAAGCTATGTGGAATGTCGATGTTCAAAAGTTGGCTGGCCCTGGAAAGGGCAGTTTGTTCCACCGTGAGTGTGCTGGCAGAATTTGCTCCTTTATAGTAGAACAAGTCTTTACAGCCATTCAGCTGGTTTGTCCAGCTGGTGATTTGGTGCTGTGTGCGTCGGTAGGAACAGCTGCCTACGGTGCAAGTGATGACTGAGCCGTTGTCTCGGCTCGGTTGCTGGAGAGCTGCGGCAACTACATTAGCTGTCTGGTAGCAGAGCGTGGTTGCTGGAGAGCTGCAGCAGGTGTCTTTGGTGCAGTAAACACCCGATCACTCTGATGACTGAATGTGATCACTGACGATTACTAGTTTTTGGCTCCACCTTTTATACCATGCTTGCTGGGCGGAGCTACAGTTGCAGTTGCTATTGTGAGCGCTGATTGGCTAGCACACGCAATGATGTAAATGTAGGCTGGACAGTGAGCGCTGTATAAATACGAGTCGTGGCAGCAACATGCGGCAATGCAATATTGACTAGGAGTGAGTGCTGTCTGTTAGACTGGCGAAACCACATGTTAATATGTGGGATGTTCCCACAACTGCATACCTCAGGGTACATTATTCCTACATGTATCACTGTTGAGAACGATAGTTACCGTATTTATGCATGTATAGGCTGCACATTTTTTCCAAAAATTCAAGAGGAAAACTGGGGTGCGGCTTATATTCGAAATATTCGAAATCACACTTCATTTAAAAAAAATTATATTCATAATTAGTAATACAGGGTGTTCAAAGATTGAGGAAACTGGGGCAGCAGTGTAGAGCGGATGGAACGTTTCTCCGCGACTACTGTGCCCCTCCCTGCTAGCGAGAGTGCAGTCGTGTCGCTGATACCCTTACATCAGTTTCTGTACATGCACACATTTATAAGAATACTGTAAAAAGATAACACAAACTTACCGTGCTTTATAACAGGTACTGAAAGTGACCCCCTTCTGCTTGCAAACATGCTTCGCATCGCATGAATAAATTATGCGACACTTTCTGAAGTTGGGCCACGGTAATTGAACCATATTACTGTTCATCACTTGACTCGTTACTGTCGATGTCGCTCTCGCTCGAAGTTTCGCTGTCAGGTGATGTCAGCCATACAGCGTCATCTTCAGTCCTGTCCATTGCGTTGGAAATGGATGTGACTTTAAAACTTTTGGAAACCATTTCTTCTGGTATGGTGTTCCATGCAGCCACAATCCACTCACACATTTGACTTAATGAAGGTTTCTTCAATCGTCCAGTCGGCGTCATCTCCGTGGAACCGCATCTCCAGTCCCGGTAAAAGCGCCGCAAATGAGACTTGAAAGGACGGTTTATTGACACGTCAAGTGGTTGTAACTTGCCAGTCATCCCCCCTGGTATCACAACCATATCACTTTTCTCCTGCCTCATCTTCATTTTCACATTTTCAGTTAAATGGCTTCGAAAAATGTCAACCACTAACATTGACTGCTGACGTAAAAGTGCACCTGATTTCAACCAATCCAGATAGAGCTCTTCTGTCATCCATCCTTTTTCTTGAACTCTCACCAAAATTCCCGGTGGAAGCTTTTCTTTCGGCAATGTTTTGCGTTTGAAGATTACAAATGGTCTTAGTTTGTTTCCATCAGCAGTGATACCAAGCATTACGGTACACCGCTGCTTTTCTGCTCCTGCAGTCCGCACATGCACTGTTTTTTCACCTGCTTTGTTCACTGTACTTTCACCCGGCATTTCAAAGAACACAGGAGTTTCATCAACATTTCAAATCGCTCCCATGGTGTAGTTGTGCGTCTTTCTTAATTTCAGGACATGTTTTTGAAATGCAAGCAGTTTCTCCTGGTATGTGTTGGGAAGGCGCTGTGCTATTGACGTCCGTCGCCGAATTACAAGATCATGTCGGGCCATAAAGCGCCTTGCCCATCCATAACTTCCCTTAAATTCATTACAAGGAATTTTCATTCTGTCCCCTATTTTGAGGCCTTCAAATTGAATCATTTCCACAAGCACTGAAAATCCATCCGCCCATGTATTACGCATGTATCGCAAAAGTTTATTTTCAAGTTCTGGAAATTTAGCTTTCTTTCCGTGGAAAGATTGTCGATTTTGTGACGTTTTTTCAAGGGCATCTTTCATTAGTAGCCATCTTCGCACATTTTTTTCGTCAATGTCGAATTTTCTCCCTGCTGCTCGATTTCCGTGTTCTTGTGCATAACGCACCACTTGAAGTTTAAATTTAGACGTATAACCTGCTCTTACTCGACCCATGTTTCACTCAGAACTAACCAGGCAAGTCAAGTAAAGGCGAAAAGGTCATAACTCTCCCCCGCAATGCCTTTGTTCCGAGCGGTACCGTTATTTTCGCTAGTTGCGAACTTAGGAATGTTAAACGTTGCCAGATTTCGGAATAATTTCTACTCCTGAAATAATATTCCAAGAAAATTATTTTTTCTATAATTTCTGTCTGAAAATTGTGCTGCGGCCTATACATGCATAAATACGGTATTATGTTCTGTGACATTGAAAATATTCTTGCTATAAAACTCCACGTTGAAACTAAGCAGAGATCAACTAACCACATTTCCAGTCCTGGTGTCAAACAGTACTCATTAATAAGGATTTTTCTTTAGTAGTTGGATGCTACTAAATGATATATTAAGAATGATTCATAAAACACAGTTTATTTAACAATGCTCTTCCAACTGTATTGGGTATACAGTTATAAAAGGTAGGATTATGCTGTGAATGATGAAGAGAAGAGCAACTGTAAAGGATGAAGAAAGAAGCAGACAAGGACTTTTTTGAAGTGACTATCTCAACATTTCTGTGAAGTAATCAAAAAATCATGAGATATCCTAAGACAGGACAGAGAGTCACTGGGCTTTGAAATTAACCAACTGAATCCTGAGTATGAAGTGTATTTATCTTTCAACTATGATATTCAATTCAGGAATGACAAGAGAGGATTACTGTACTTTTAAAGAACCATTCTAGCATCAATATGGAAGGACTGAGGATAACAACAAAGCCCTTTATGATACTACAGCTGCAATAAGGGTTCCAAGCAAAAGTGACACAACTGTCTGAAATTTATACACATACTCGTATTTCTCAATGAGAAGTTTTGATTTTAAGATCAGTTTGGCTTATGTTTAATGATTGATCGATTCTTCATTTATTTAACAATGCTGTATAAGCTACAAGATATTAGGAGACAATGAATGTTAAACAAGGAAAAAATTATTAAGAAGGTACTCATGGCCTACTGAAAGGTGTTTTACTATTTTCTGCCTAGAGAGACTGAAGAGAATCACAGAGAGCACAGCCAAGACAGAAAGTAAGCATACACTGATCTGAAATGGTTTACCTTCCATGTACAAGAGCAGACAATTTTATTATAAGTGTATGAATTGGTGTATTATAAGTTAACAGATAGTTTAAACTTCTCTCTAGTATTTTAAAAGCATGTGTTATCTTAAGTCGGGATTAATATGGACATAAAGTAGTTCAGTTCTTTTATCAAATTGCCATTAAGTTCACGCAAAGATTTTGTACTTCTATGAGAATACAAAAATTTTGTGTAAAATGATTCACAGAGTTGACATTGTTTTTATTTTACTTTACTCCTTACTCTCTCAAGATTATTACTACACTGATTTTAACATGAACAGATGACTAGAGACATTCTCTTTTCATAGCAGAGATTACACCTTATTACCCACAGCCTCCACTTGTCTTAAGTTAATTTAAAGGTCATGCTCTCATTTTAGGGTCCAGCTGCCTCAACAGCTGCACCTTCTGATCCATCTCAACTGTGCACCCGAGAAGGTTTCATGAGAGATCCGTATGACTTGCGGGTTTTCTACCAATGCCTGCAACATGATGGCAAATTTTATGGCTTTCGTTTCGAGTGTCCTGCTGAGCTCATATTTGATACATCATTAAATGTGTGTAATTGGAAATATGCAGTCAAAATCTGACAGTTATGAAGGCAAATTATTTACATTGCAAATCTCATCACATAGTGTGGTTAGTTCAGCAGAACCTACTTTTGAAATTCAATGAATGGAGTTTCTATGTAGATTTTATCACCTCTATAAATATACAGCATCTTACCGGAAGACAGTCTTTCTTTTATCTTCCTTATACGCGTAGAAAAAACTCTGTTACAAAGATTCAAAGAAAAGAGGTTACCCAAGTATAACTGTAGTATTGTACAATAATAACATCATTTACAGAGATTAAAAAATAGACTGTCCTAGTATAACTATGGTATAGTATAATAAAAACAGAAAAAGAAGAACAATATATATATGTATATATATATGTGTGTTAGTTATTCAATGATCAAACATTTTATGTCTTTTTTTTTGGACATATGATTGATGTAGGAAAGTAGTGCATAAATAAATTCCATTGCAATTATTTCTCAGGTTATTACAATCTATACATCAGGAAAATGTGTATTTAATGATCATTAAGAGGTCTAATCTCCAAATAATATAGTGAAGTGATAAGAACTTAAAAGAACAAAATGCATTCAAATGCCCATTTCATGTTCCTCTGGAGGACAACAGAACACTAACAGGATGAAAATTATATATGGAAGGAATTTAACATTAACCTTTAAACGCCGGACTTCTGAAATAGTGGTAAGCTTGAGCTGGCCGGAGTTTATTTAAATGCCCGTTGGTACTCTGCCTTTAAATGTCCGTTCCTGTCAGTGCGCCTAAACAATTTAAAGCATTGTGTTTAAAAATGCTGTATCTAACTCAATTTTTATGATAAATGGATGGAATTAATTTTGTTTGTATCAGCAAAGAACATACTGTCGCATAATATAACGGAAGATTTGAAATTTTTTATACAAATTATACTCCATTTTCAATTTTTTGTACTGCAAAAATGATTCCCCAGTTCTTCACAGAGTTGTTCTGCATTACAAATTCATTTCTGTTTGTAACACTTGACAAATTTTAGCAGTCCCTGATGTCATAAAACAGATGGAAGCAATAAAATCATTTGGTCTTCTGCTAGCACTGCTTACACTCTTTGGATTTTCGAATCTTTTGACTGAAGGTCAGAAGAATGAAAAAATGGCTATTCAAGAGAAAGCTAGAGGGGTCCCTTCTTCAGTTCTAAGACCTTCCGTTATAGCTGCAAAAGCTTATTGCCCTTTCTATGGGCCTGAACAGACAGCTGCATCGCGGCTGAGATTCAGAGTGCGGTCTGTTTTCTGTGCGTGCTTAGTGAAATCGAATACTGTAGTTTTATTTCAGCCTAGATATACATCAAGCAGATAACAATAAAAAAGGTATGTACATCGAATTTTACTGTATATTTTTAACACATTAATCTGCAGAATCTGCAATAAAAGTACTGGCTCGTGGATGAGTTTGGTCATAACTCATACGTATACTCTTTTTGTTGTTGTTGTTCACCTAGGTATCATTTTAATTTTTCTGTTAGGGCTTTACTCAAGTCTGTCTGGTAATTACTACATTTAAAAATACATATTTAGGACTGGGCATTCGCTTCTACTAGCGGCGTGTGCGCGCGCTTCCCCTAGCGGAGTTTAAATGCCCGACTTGGCCAAAACGGGGTACTTTGGCCACGACGACCTTACTCACCACTGGCACAAACGGGACACTTCGGCACTTAAAGGTTAATGGTGTATAGGACTACAAAAACTGGAATGTTAAACAATCCTAGGACACAGTTCATATCCTCATACCAGACTTCCTTTAGATTAACATTTACATTGTCCTCACTTTTCCTTTTCAATCTTCAAGGAGCCAACTCATTTCCCCATTAAAATTTCACATGCAGGGCTCCAGGAACACAATTTAATTCACTATCCACTTAACAAAACCTATTTTCCCATAGTTTTGAAGTGTGTTTCATACCTATGATATCCCTGTTAATTGCATGCATATTTCAGGAGCTCTTTCTGTAAGAATTTCATGTTTCCCCAGTGAAGCTATATGACCACACCATCATAAAGTCTTTAATTGCTTTATTCTAACCATACTAGGTCTTCTGTAAAAATTACATATGTTCCTGTTGTGTAGCATCCTCCAATACTTACTTAAATTCTCTTAGGTCCAGTATTTTCCTGATCACTTGGTATTTAAACACTTGTAATTGATGTGCTTTCATGAAAGGATGAGATTGTTCCACAGTCATGCAAAATAAGGAGTAAAATTCAGATAATTCTAACATTATTGAATGTTTAAAATATGCTAATATAAACACAGAGATGTCAACTCATGGTTTTATAAAATACAGGTGTACTCTCAGAGCCCTCTAGTACACAGATGTTCTAATGTTATGGCAGATATATTGTATGTGAGTGGCCCAGCTTAAGTTATCTGTGATATAAATACCTACAAATTATAAATTTGATGAGTAAGTTATTTCTTTATTTTTTAGATACAGAATGGGTCCATGAGTTAAACTAGATCCTCTTTCTTGAAATAGTATTGCTTTTTTCTATTTTTATTTTCTCTTATTGCTAGTGGGGTGGAACTAAGTCCCTTGTACTACAGCAACTTCTGGCCTATTGTACCAGCCCCAGATTTTAGGTGAGGGTGATTGTGGAGCAATTGGTGGAATGAAGATTGGCAGGGGAAACCGAAGTGCTCGGAGAAAACCTGCCGTGGCGCCACTTTGTCCACCACAAATCCCACTTGACCAGACCCGGGATCGAACCCGGGCCGCGGCAGTGGGAAGCCAGCGACTAACCGCTTGAGCTATGGCGTGGCCAATAGTATTGCTTTAGTCTTTTCAGTATTTACAAGGAGCATTCCGTATATAATGCCTCATTTTTTTAAAGAAAACTAGAACAGATACAGAAAGCATAATAACGCATTTAAATAGAGCAAGATTTCAGCTACTTACATTTATTTTTCCACATAATCACCACCATTCGTTATGCACTTCTGCCAGCGATGAACAAGAGCCTGTATGCTGTGTCTGTAAAAGTCTGCGCCAGAAGAGGCTAGCTACTTTTTTACAGCTACAATGACAGCATCGTTGTCTGGAAAATATTGCCCACATAGTCCATCTTTCATAGGCCCAAAGAGATGGAAGTCTGAAGGTGCTAAATCAGGGCTATAAGGTGGATGTGGTAGGACAGTCCAGCCAAACTTTGCAATGTGCGTGGTGGTCGCCAAACTGGTATGGGGTCTAGCGTTATCGTGTTGTAAGCGAAAGGTTGTCTGCTTCTCTGGCCTGACTCGGGAAATGCAGGCTTTCAGCTTAATCAGCATCGTCTTGTAGCGTCCAGAATTGACAGTCTCACCAGGCTCCAGGAAAGCCAACAAGATCACACCCCACCTATCCTAAAAGACCGTGCACATCACTTTCCTTGCCGATGGCTGTGTCTTGAACTTCTTTTTTCTTGGGGAATCTGGATGTCACCACTCCATGGACTGTCTTTTGGATTCTGGCCTGTAGTGGTGACACCACATCTCATCTCCGGTGATGATGCTGTCCAGAAACTTGTCACCTTCAACCTCAAACTGGTGCAACAGGTCCTGACAGACTTCCATTCGATGAGTTTTGTGGTCCTGTGTAAGCATCCGCGGGACCAACCTCAAACAAACTTTGCGATAATCCAGCTTTCCCAACATCGTTTCCAATGCATTACAGCTGATATTAAGCCATGCACACAGTTCCCTGGTTGTTATCCGCTGATCTGTATGGATGAGCTGGTCGAGGCGCTGTTAATTGTGAGGACTGGCAGGTGAGCAGGGACACCCAGGGTGTGGCTTGTAGCACACTTCACTTTCGCCACTGTTGAAACGCACTACCCACCGCCTCACTGTGCTGACATCCACTGTATCATCTCTGTACACCGTTAGCAAGTGTCGATGGATGTCAATGGATGAAATTTGTTCGGCAGTGAGAAATTCAATAACACATCTCTGTTTTGTACGCACTTCTATGTCAGACGCCAATTTGGTAGACTGCTCTGCTGTCGCTATCTTTCGCACGACAACCAAACTAACAGTACAGTGGCGGGAGGGTTCAACCTTTACTACAACACCACCAGCATCCAGCTCAGACATTAAATATTAACACAAAAAAATAGGAGGCATTATATATGGAACGCCCTTCATATTATAAGATTATTTGTTAGGAGCCAGTTTTTTAATTGTTCCATGACTTTTACTGATTTTTTCTTTTAACAATGGGAGGTTTTTCTCTGTGAGTAATATATTTGTGTCATCTGCGAATAACACCACCTTAGCTTCTTGAAATGCTTGGGGCAAATCGTTTAAAAACAACAAGAGCAGAAGGGTCCCAAAACAGAACCCTGAGGTACACAATATTTTATGTCTTTTCATGATGAAGCAAACGGCTTTATATTAGCGATCTTTTCATATAAATATGCTACTTCTACAAATTGAGTTCTACCAGTAAGATGTGAATTCATCCATGAGTGTATTTCCCCTCTAAGTCCATACAGCTCCAATTTGGCAAGCAGTAAATTATGATTTATTACATCAAAGGCCTTAGTTAAATCTAAAAATATGCCCATAACTAACAGCTTATTATCTAATGCTTTCTGGATACCCTCTATGAAAGTTTGTGTTGCTGTATTGGTAGATTTTTCTCTCTGAAGCCATTTTGAGACTCAGAAATGTTATGTAAATACTCTTTTATATATATTTATATTTCAAGAATTTTGGAAAGAAACTGGAAAAATTGAAATTGGTCTATAATTGGAGATTTCTTGTTTCCCATCTTTTCTGTGAATAGGCTGAACTTTTGCAATCTTCATCAAATTTGTAAAGGTTAGTGGTTTCTTGACATACAGAATACTTTCTTTTACTAACCTTTCAGGTATTTCGTTCCAGCCAGCTCAAAATTTAACTTTTAATTTCTTGGTTTCATTCAAAACCTCTTCTTCAGTAATTAGAGCAGGAAACATGGAATTAGAGATTACTAGTTTATTATTAAGAGTGTCACAACCAAATTTACAATCCTTATTTTGATTTAACATCTTATCCACATATTTGATGAAAAAAACATTAAGTTGATGAGATATATCCTGTGGATTTGAAAGGAACATGGAGCCTATTTAAAAAAATGATTTGATTTTTTTTTTGTTAATTCCCTGATTCCTTTTTTATTATTTGCCATATTGCCTTGGTGTAGTTTACTGACCTTGAAATAATTCTGTCATTTCTCTTTTTTGTGCTCCAGATATCACTTTCTTATAAGTAATTTGATATTTCTTTATATAGTTCAATGTTTCACTGGACATAGAAGACATCTTTTTCTTTAACAAACGTAACAATTGCAGCCTCTATCCTAATACTTTTATCCCATTCGTCAGTCATCCTGATTTGATATGGATACAAGTTCATGAGGGTACTGAAGGTAATGAAACTGCTTATCAACTGGAGAAACTGGGGTC